TAATCTGTACCTTGCCACGTGGCTCATGGCTTACCGGCATCTTCACATGCTGTTTGTCATCGTGGCAGCTGGCAGTGTCTCTCTGACTCAGCCTTCCACTTCCCAGCTTTATTCTCCTCCTTGTCCCGCCTACACTTCCTGCCTAGCCAATGGCCAATCAGTGTTTTATTTATTGACCAATCAGCAACACATTTGCCATACAGAACATCCCACAGCAGGTGACTGCCAAACATTGCCAGGACAAGGTAGGACAGTCCTTCAAAATTTTTGCTTCACAGAAAAGTCTGTCAGATATTCTAGGCCTGTAGGCCAAAGATGGATGCCACAATATTACAGAGGAAACTTTGGTGACTGTCTAGGCAGCCAGCTGCTTCTGTCATTTCTATAGTTTTGGAAGTTGTTTGCTCGGCACTTACTGTTTACTCAGGTAATATTATATCCTTCTTGGGTCTCTGATGGAGTTGAAGATGAGATAGGTATAGTTACAATTTTCACTGTTAACAAATACAAAAAAGAAACTCAAAAAAGAGGTATAAAGTGTATAAGGTTGAGGAAGAAAGTAGATGAATCTAGGCCTGCATCGGACACCAATGAGATATGGAGGGAGTCGAATATAGAGAATGAAAGAAAGGTAAAAAGTCATGAGTCAAAATGTAGATTCATATAAATGGGTTAATTTAAGTTATGAGAGCTAGTGGGACAAGCCTAAGCTAAGGCCAAGCTTTCATGGTTGATAAGAAGTCGCCCTGTCATTATTGGGGAGCTGGCAGCTGACAACAAAGCTTGCTACAGTGCATAGCTCAGTTGGCAGAGTGCTTATGCAACACGCTAACACTCACAAAGCTGTAGGCTGGAATCCCAGCACTGCCTAAGCAGGGTATATTGATACACACCTGTAATCCCAGACTCCAGAAGCAGAGAATGAGAAGGTCCAAAATCTCAAGATCTTCCTCAGCAAAAGGGAGTTTGTGTTTGGCATTATGAAAAGTGTCTGATCTTCCTTTAACTAGAAGAGAATGTCTGAGACTTGATACTCTCTTGAGAGCTGGATCTTGAACTACCTATTGTCTAGTTCTCCACAGCTGGCTAAGACCATGGGAATTTGGTGACAAGCTAAGTAACTCAAATTATAAACCTAATTGATGCATAAAGTCTGAGGTAGCTTAACTCTAGGAAAAGGATGTGAACCTTATGGTACTCTCAACATATAAACCATGTGGTACTCTTATGGTTGTATGGCCTTGGCAAAATCATTTATCCTTTCTTTCATGTGTAAAAAGAGGGTAATAACAACCTTGCAGGTTCGTGTGGACTAGAGCTATTGCATGAACAAAAGGAAGATGGCTGTTTTTGATTCACAGAGCCCAGCAAAGGACATGCTTGTTTTCATCACCGAGTGAGGAGGCCTTTGAATGGAGATGTGATTCCTTTTGATTGACGTGCCCAGAAGTACACTCAGGGGATGTTGGGCCCTGATATGTAATCATGCTCAGAAAGACTTAAGGTTATTAATCAATTTAGCAATTAAGAGGACATTTAGAATTAATTTTCTCCTAGAGTCATCAGAGCACAGCTCTGAGCTAGGTACTCCAGAGAGAATTTTTTAGATTTTTTCTGTGGCTGTGTGTGGCAGTTGACCGGCAGCCTTTCCCTCTGGACATTGTCAAGGCCTAAATAAATCACATCACTCTTTTATGGTCTGCCTTTGCAAATGGAGTTCATTATCTCCAGGGACACCTTCAACATGCCGGAGGGGATATATAAAGCCATTGGACAGAAATGGCTATTTCTAAGGGGATCCTTTTAGTAAAGACCTTCAAGGGAAATTGAAAGTAATCAGTCAAAGGTAGGTTTATCACTCAATCTTAAGATAAGGTATGAAACTATGAAGTAATGTCACACTAATGGTGGGTTTGTTACCTGTAAGTCTGAACTTTAAGCTACCCAGAAGGTTCCTCTTATCTGAGGATAACTGATCCATGAACAGCATTCCTGAAAGTGAATCCACTTAAAATAGGGCCCATATGTACCATAGTAAATACATAAAAGGAAGTGTGGGTTTGGATTTTATGTTGAAAATTAAACCAAAGCAAGTTACTACACAGTATCATCCTTTCCTATCTAAAGCATCGTGTAATTTAGAAGATTCCTGTCTACCCTAGATAGAGTTACTATTGCTGTGATGAAACACCATGACCAAAGCAACTTGGGGAGGACAGGGTTTATTTGGCTTATACTTCCACATCATTGTTCATCATTGAAGGAAGTCAGGGCAGGAACTCAAACAGGGTAGGAACCTGGAGGCAGGAGCTGATGCAGAGGCCACAGAGGATGCTGCTTACTGGCTTGCTCCCCATGGCTTGCTCAGTTTGCTTTCTCACAGAACCCAGGACCACTAGCCCAGGGTGGCACCACACACAATGGGCTGAGCCCTCCCTCATCAATCACTAATTAAGAAAATGTCCTATGGCCAGACCTTATGGAGGCATTTTCTCCTTTCAGATGACTCTAGCTTGTGTCAAGTTCATATAAGACCAGCCAGCACACTGTGTGCCCTTGTTCACCTGTGCCAAGGAAGGCACAGACCCTCCAAACACCCCTTACATTAGCCTGTCTTATGAGTAGTTCAACTTCTTGTCCCCAGTGATCAGTAAGAACAGGATATTTTATTTATTTATTTTTTTATTTATTTTTGTTTTTTTTGAGACAGGGTTTCTCTGTGTAGCAGCTGTCCTGGAACTCACTTTGTAGACCAGGCTGGCCTGGAACTCAGAGATCTGCCTGCCTCTGCCTCTCGAGTGCTGGGATTGAAGGCGTGTGCCACCACCGCCCGGCTAGAACAGCCTATTTTCTTAACCAAATTTCAGTTAAGATTCTCCTTTTTCTCAGGTCTCCAGAGTGTTGCCAACCCTCTGTCCAAGCCAGATCACAGCATCCCAGAGCACAGGCTAGCCCAAGTTAAACCTTTTATTTACAGACACTCAGGAGGCCATATCATCCACCCCAGTTCCTCACACCTGCTCCTTTTAGCACTCCTTGCTCCTCCATAAAAGAAAGGCCCTTTTTGCCCGAAGTGTAAGCCAGTTGCTGCTGTGAGGGTCAGAGCTGTCTCCCTGTCACAGTCACCATTTTCCCCGTGACAACCTTACAACAGTCTTTGGCATAAAGATCTATCTTGGCGTGACCTGATGACATGTCTTTAATCCCAACACAGGGAGACAGAGGCAGGCAGATCTCTGTGAGTTCAAGGCCAGTCAGAGCCACACAATGAGAACCTGTCTTAAAAAAAAAAAAAAAAAAGTTCACTTTTTCCAAATCCACATTTGTTCTTCTTTTAACTGTAGTAATATTCCACAAAAAGTGAGGAGATGGCTCAGTGCGGAGAGTGCCTACTGCAGAAGCATGTGGACCTGAGTTTGGATCCAGAGCACCCACATAAAAGCTGGGTGTGGCAGTAGGTGCCTGTAACCCCAACACTTGTGGGTGAAGGTAAGAAGTTGGAAACATTGGAAAATTAAGAAACAGAAGCCCACCCTGCAACATTTGGACATTGTGATATACTGTAATCCCAGAACTCGGGAGCTGAGGCAGAAGGGTTAGGAGTTCAAGGCCAGCCTGTGCTTCATAGTGAGACCCTGTTAAAAGAGGTGGGAAGGGGGAAGGAAGGAAGGAGGGAGAAAAGTTGAGCAAGCCAGTAAGCAGTGTCTCCCTATGGTCTCTGCTTCGACTTCTGCTTCTGCGCCTGCCTCGGCTTCCTTTTATAGTAAATTGTAACCTGTAAGCAGAAATAAGGCCTTGCCTTTTCAAGTCGCTTTTGGTTATGATGTTTATCACAGCGACAGAAAAGAAAACTAGAACCTACGGTAAATAAGTTGTGTGTGTATATTAAACTCATTTGTTTCGTGAAACATCCAATCAGACCAACATTCTTCAGTCCATGTTCAGTGTGCCCTTTGCTTCCATACCCATAAAAACATGACATACGATGGGAACTCACGACAGAGGAAGCCTGCTCATCCAATGGTCAGAATGAGAGAGAAGAAGGGGCTAGGGTCCCGGTATCCCCTTCAGAAGCACATCCCCATATGACCAGAAGACTTCCACCTTGGCCCCACCTTTGACAGGCCCCACCTCCCAACGCAGCCATGGAGCTTTTAACACATGGGCCCTCTGGGGACACTGATCCAAGTCATTGCACTCTTGGCCTTTGCTGCTTTTTTTTAAAAAATCAGAACCTTTCATTAATGTAGTTTAAGGACACCAAGAGTTCTGCAAATATTGATAAGGAAGACAGTAATCCTTCCAACTCCCACCTCAATACCTACTCCTCCACTCCTCAGGATGACCTACTCAACTCTTTCTAATGAATTCCTTTCCTTCTTCCTCCCTCCCTCCATCCCTTCCTCCCTCCTCCCCTTCCTTCCTTCCTTCCTTCCTTCCTTCCTTCCTTCCTTCCTTCCTTCCTTCCTTCCTTCCTTCCTTCCTTCCTTCCCCCTTCCCACCTCTTTTAACAGGGTCTCACTATGAAGCACAGGCTGGCCTTGAACTCCTAACCCTTTTGCCTCAGCTCCCGAGTTCTGGGATTACAGTATATCACAATGCCCAAATGTTGCAGGGTGGGCTTCTGTTTCTTAATTTTCCAATGTTTCCAATTTCTTAGATTTCCTTATTTTAGGCATTTCTTCGTTTCCCAGGTGGAAAAGGAGGATTTATCACTGCCTCGCCAAAACTCGGGACCTCACCACACACATCTCTTGTCCCTGCTCAGCCTGAAGTTTCCCCAGTATAATTAGATCATAATTCTCATTAGATCAACATTCAATATTTACCTTAACAAGAATACATAAACATACTTCACAGCCAAATACTTCACGATTGTATAGTGATTATTTTTCTTTTCTTGCTAAATTTTCTTCCTAAGGTTGAAAATCATTTTGATTTTGTTTATTTGCTTAGCTTTCTATATACTTGACACTAATATATTCCCAAACTCTCCCTAGGTTGAGTGTGTGATGTGCTCTCAAGTCTCTGAAATGCTGCGATGCCTTCAGTATTGTGGCCATTTCCTTTTCTTGAGGAGACAGCTCTGGATCTTATGGCTGGGCCAGTTTGGGTTGCTGCTCCGAGACCTGCTGCATAGCTCCTGGCTTGAGAGCTCTCCTGCCATCTGACCAGAGTCTTCTTTTCCAGGAACCATGCCTGCCCTCTGATGTGGGCTCTTCTTCCCCACGGACTATGCCTTCTATTTTTCTTTGGTTGAATAGATGGTATCATCACAGTAGCTTCCTGAGACAGAGTCGCAGCAAGACAAAATTTGAGACCACTCATCTCTGAAGACGTTGCCATTCTACGCTCACACTGAATTGAGAGTTTGGGTGAGGAGGGGATTCTGAGTTGGAAGTCGCTGGCCATTCTGACTTCAGTGTTGTTGGAAGGGCTTCTGCTCGTCTCCTTCTTTTGCATGAAACCTGCTTATTTGCTCTGGAATCTCTAGTCTGTTCTCTTCATTACTAATACTAAAATGCCATAGGAATAAACCTTCGTTTTACAGGATTGTTTTTCTTCATTAATTATTCTGGGCATTCAGTGGGTCTTTTTAGCCTAGAAACTCATTTGTTTAAGACTGGGGGTGGGATTTCCTTGGATTATGCATTGATTTATTTTTAATATCTATCTTCTCTATGCTGTTTTGAATTCCTATAATCTATAATTTGAATGCTTTCATGAACAAGTCCAATTCTCTCTCTCTCTCTCTCTCTCTCTCTCTCTCTCTCTCTCTCTCTCTCTCTTTCACACACACACACACACACACACACACACACACACACACACACACACACACTTACAGTGTAGCTGGCCTCAACCTCTCCATCCTCCTGCCCCTGCCTCCTGACACCATGCCACCATGCTTGACCTCTTCCCTTTACCCTGAGTAATTTTTCTTCACCTTGGTTTTCATTTCCACTGATTTAATCTTTTTTTTCTCCTATCATATTTGATTTAGGAAAGCTGTTCTTTTTTTCCCCTGAGAATTCCTTTTTAATAGCATTCCATTCTTGACTTTTAGATGCAATATCACATCTTCTTAAAATTTAACTTTCTTATTGTTGTGGTGTGTGTGTGTGTGTGTGTGTGTGTGTGTGTGTGTGTGTGTGTGTGTGTGCAGGTGCACACGTGTAGAGGTCAAAGGGTGATTTTCAGAAGTCAATTCTCTCCTTTTATCATGGCTTTTTCGGATCCAATTCTGGTCATCAGGCATACTCTGCCTGCCAATCCTTCTCACTGGCCCAATAAGATCATATTTTTGTAAGTATATTGTGTTTGTTTACTTTTCATTGATGTGGTCAAAATCGTGAACACAACTATTTTATAGAGGAAGGTTTTATTCCGTCTTACAGCTTACAGTCCATCATCAAGGGAGGCTAAGGCGGAAACCGAAACAGAGACTGTGAAGAAATGCTGATTATTGGCTTGCTCTCTATGGCTCTTACAGTTTACTTTTTCAAGCAACCCAGAACCACTTGCCAGGGTTAGCACCGCCCACAGTGGTGATTGACCATTGACCATTAATCAAGAAAATGCTCCCTACATACTTGCCTGCAGGCCAACCTTATGGAGACATTTTCTCAATTGATGTTCCCTCTTCCCAGATGACTCTAGCATGTGTCAAGTTGACAAAGAAGTAGCCAGCACGTATGTAAGCTTTCTTCTTCATACCTGGTCTCTGCTTTCTCCAAGATGTTTTTACCTTCTGAGTGGGCCTTGTTTTCATGGTATCAGTGTTTTCAAATGTCTAATGCTACTTGACGGAGTGCTTATAAACAGAACACCAAACTGCCGTGCTGCGGTGCTGACTCCGGTGGGTCTCATCAGTTATTAGTGTCACTGAACTGCAGCCTATCAGGGCCATTTCCTCAAGAAACTCTTAAGGTCATTTGATACAGCCATTTTTATCAAATCTAATCTTTATCAAAAGCTTATCTAGCCTCCTGCTTGTGGAAGGACAAATGTAGCTCTGACTGTTCAGAGGTAGAAGATTCACAGTCTCAGCATTTGCTGTGGAAACTTGCATTAAGTTCCGTATTTTCTCTAAGCCCCATACCTCTGCTTGTGCTTTCTAGCCCATGGTCTAAAATGGCCTCTTTGATCATCGCTAGAGAATGGGGGGATCTAGGTTTGCTAGGAACAAAAGCATGGAGGAGTGAAAGGACCCAAGGGCCACTTGCATTTTGAGAAAACAGTCAACCAATCTTGGTTTTGGTGCTAATTTCCCCTTCTCTTCCTAAAAGTATCCATTTCACTACTTCTTGAGTCTTTGAGGCTTCTGAGACAGAATCCTGAATTCTGAACTTAACAGTCTCAGGCCTGCTAGGTCAGTTTCCACTTGTTAATATGGTTCTTATTAAGTGAGCTTTCTAGCTTCCAGACTTTGGTGACTGCTGTCTCTGTTGTATTTCCTTCTTTTGTTGTTTTAATGGGGTTCCAGGAAGTTAAAGGGCATGTGTACTTTTCGATCTTTAACGAGAAGTTCCAGCCGGTGCTTGAACTTGAACTCCATATTGCCTCCCCAGAAGCAGACCCACACAATAATATATTGCTGATAAACAATTTTGAAGCTTTTATGATCCATTGGACACTATTTTAAGTACATAGGCACTAACCTTATGCCAGGAGGATAGTTTATTGTGAAAGCTTGGTGGCCCATTTGGAACCTTCTCCTGTCCCAGGGAAGCCTGGAGGGGTGTTCTTAATAGTAATGATACTGGGACAGGTTTTTTTGTTTTTTGGGGTTTTTTTTGTTTTTTTCAGTGCTAAGGATCAAATCCAGGACCTTGCCCATGCTACACAGGCACTCTAATGTTAAACACCAACAGAAAACATTCTTGTCTGTGGGAGAGCCTGGAACAGACCACACTCCCAGCTTTTGACTTTGCCTCTATTAGCTGTGCATCTACCCCTAGAAGAGGCAACCACTGAACTGTGTCTCTCGCTTCTCAGGATGCTGTGGAGCCCATGCAGTCAGACGCATGTGAGTTCTCAATATGGAGTTCTCACTGTCTCAGATGGTGAGCATCCAGAGAACAAAAAAGGGGTGTGGGTAGGGGGTTAGGATCAAGAAAGCAGAAGGACCCTCCTCACAAGTCATCTGCATGTCTTGGGGAGAGTGTCCACTCACCCATGTCCGTGCTGGAACCCTGTCTGGCTTGAACCTGTGCAGGCCTCGTGTGTGCTGCCACAGTCTCTGTGAATCCATGTGTGTGTCAGTCTTTTTTTTTTTTTTTTGGTTTTTCGAGACAGGGTTTCTCTGTGTAGCTTTGCGCCTTTCCTGCGACTCACGTGGTAGCCCAGGCTGGCCTCGAACTCACAGAGATCCGCCTGGCTCTGCCTCCCGAGTGCTGGGATTAAAGGCGTGCGCCACCACCGCCCGGCTGTGTGTCAGTCTTGTCGTGTCTCGAAGACACTTTCCTTGGAGTCAGCCACCACCTCTGGCTCTTGCAGTCTTTCCACTTCCTCTGCCACATAGATCCCTGAGCCATGAGAGGAGGGATTTGATGAAGACATCTCACTTAGGACTGAGTGTTCCAAAGCTTCTTACTCCCTGCACATTGTCCAGTGGTGGGTCTCTGTGTTAGTTCCCATCTGCTGCAAGAGGAAGACGCTTCTCTGATGAGGACTGAGCAAGGCACTGATCTTGAGTGCCAGCCCAGTGTGGCCAAGAACAGAAATTTCACCACCCTTTGCAAATAAGGAAACTGAGGCACGGGAATCAGTTAACAGATGCTAAGTCACATGTTTACAATCGAGACTTGGAACTGGTGACTTGGTATGGAGTATTTGCTTTTGACCCAGCCTGGCCTCATTTCCCTCAACCATCTTGTCATCTGTCATTTCAGCCCCTTCTGTCACCAATCCATTGACTTGTTTTCATTCTCATTAGATGCCTTTTCTTTTCTGTGGCCTTCTCTCCTCATTGTTTCACCTTGTTCCTGGCTTCCAGTAGGGTTCTCAAACACTCTAGTACCTGGAGTCTAAGACTTGACTAAGTTGCAGGAAGAGTCCCTCAAGGTGTGATTCCCCCTTAAGGTGTGATTCCCCCTTAAGGTGTGATTCCCCTCAAGGTGTGATACCCCCTCAAGGTGTGATTCCCCCAAGGTGTGATTCCCCTCAAGGTGTGATTCCCCCTCAAGGTGTGATACCCCCTCAAGGTGTGATTCCCCTCAAGGTGTGATTCCCCAAACCACAGTGCTGGAGCACATGCCTCATACCTTGCTGCAGGTCTCATTATAGATATAATAAAGATATAGATATAGATATAATATAGATAGTGGGACAGCCCCCCCTTCTTCCCTTCCCCAATCCTGTTTCCACCATAGCTAAAGCCTCAAAGTCTTCACTTCATATGTTAGCCTGAGACAAACCGAGTGCTGAGCTCAAGACCTGCCGCATCAGCTATGACCCTGTCCAACATGTACTCACTTTGTTCGTCCCTTCAGTAACTTGCCTGTGTTCCCATCTCAGTGACTTGTACCCTTCCATCTGGCAACTGTGGAGCTGGACCCCACTTCACGCTTCCCCTCCTGGGGTAGCCTGCCTCTGGGAGTGTTGTGAGCCAGCTGCCTGTTTTCTCTCACGGCAAACCCCCTGATTTCAGCCCTCCAGCCCTCTCTTTGCAGCCACCACCTTGTCCTTTAGCAGGTTCCTTCCCTTCATTAACTGAGGAATGAGGCTCAGAGGGGCAGAAGAGGTAAGGCCTGATGTTTGGCTCTACTGCAGGCTGCACCACACAGATGTTACTTCGGTTGCTCATCTCTCTAATCCCGCTCTTACACGGTGGGAAACTAAAGCCCAGAATGATGTCTTAAGACACCTGCTGCAAGTGCCATAAGGTCACTGCCAGAAAAAATGTGGGAACTGGAATTTCCCTCACATCTGGTTTCAGAGCAGTTGAGATCAGATCAAAAAGAGATAGAATTCCTGTAAGGGGAGGCTCATGATAAGGAGGCCCAGCAGGACCCAGGAAAAGTCTAATTGCAAAGGTGGTGATGGAATCAGAGTCACATTGGACTAGCTAGATGACGGAAATGCCTGAAGTATTGCTACGTGGGGAGAGGGGTGTGAGCATCTGGTCGTTGGGTCCTTCCATCCATCATTCCCCGTATTTCTGGCCTATCAAAGCCACCATCTCCCTCTGTCTAGTCTCACAGTGCCTGGCAAAAAGCAGTAGAGAGAGGAGGAGTGAGCATGGACCATCCCGGCTGCTGAAGGCTCAGTGTCAGCAGAACCAAAGGGCAAGAAGGAGCCGGGCTAAGCCACCAGCACTCCTACATGGGGCCTTTCCCAACCCCCAGAGAAAATGGTTGTGGCCTCTACAAGGCAACAACGCTAGGAGTCGGCCTGTTCTCTTTTCTTTCCTCGGGGACTCCAGGGCCAGCAAAGGGGAAGGGGCACTGGGTTAGAGACTGGTTTGTATTTCAGACAGAGATTCTAATTGGTTCTGACCTGAGTCTCTTCACTTCTCATTACCTCCTGGAGTCACTGAGTCCCTTTCATGT